GATAATAGTAATTGTACATTATTCGACGTTTGAATAAATAAATTTCGTAAAATATAAAAAAAAAAATAATTATGCTCGTGTAAGTTTTTGTTGTTGTTATTGCGTTGACATACGTAGAAACATGTAGATCGCCCTCTATAATACTAGGAGATCAGATCTTATGCCGACATTCGCTAAAAAAGAAACAAGATGTGTATAAGAAACACAAAAGGCACACAAGGTTCAAATTTTCAAACCTTTATTGTAACAATTAACAAGGGGTCGCACTTTTCAGGATCGTCTCGCATTCTCTCGCCGTCGATTTCAAGTGTGGGTGTTGGGCGAAAAATTTTCTGTAACGTTCTGCGATCCGACGACGGAAAATATTTTCGCGCAGTTTCTTGGCAGACTTCGAACAGGCTTGTTGGGTTCCCTCTTTTTTGGAATTTCGCATCCGATCTCTGTGTAATTTCGAGCTCGAAGGTTGCATCTTTTTTATGGCGAGCATCAAAATTTTCAAGGAACCGAAATTCTTTTTCAAAAGAGTCAATTGTAGTATCATTTCGGTTCTAATTTCCTTCGACATCGTCACCTTTTCCGTCCTGCTATTACCCAACGCACGCAACACGTTCCCGACAACGAGCGAGTCGGCGGACCACAGAGTTTTCACCCTCTCAACCAAAGACGAGTACATCTCTTCTTGCGACATTATTCAATTCTGGTTTTTGCAACTCGTCTCCAGCTTCTATTTATATAACACTTTCACCTCTCGTCCGGTGACGCATGACGTAAGTAAGATATCGATGACGACATCGGCTCGTTCGCTTTCAAAAATGGAACGACGTATATAAAAGGGGACGCTTGAAGCACGAGAGGAATCATGTCGGTGACTATGCGAATAAAGGTGTACGAGGACGGAGTCGAACGTGTGTTAGAGAGGACAAGGTCGGCTGCAGAATTGATCCGCGATTTCGAATCCGATATTCCCGGAGAGATGACTCTGTCTTTATGCATTCGGGTCGGAGAGAAAGAAAGCATGTACGAGAGCGGACGATCCGCATGGCTGTGGGGCCGTGACTGCTACATGTTCGGACTTTGGAGATGTTTCCTGTTGCAGGCCGGTTTTCGGTCTGTCGAAACTCTGATTCTGACGCTGGATCTGACCAACGTAGCCAGAAACGACGTCGTCGCTAAGCTTCTCTTCGAGTTCATCGACGGATACCGAGGAGGTGGTGGAGGACCCGAACTCTTGCATTACGACGACGTTTCCTGGTACGTCGACGCCGCCGCCATATTGACCACCGTCCAAGGCCACGATTCTGTGATAGAGAGGTTGTACCTCAGCGCGGAACAGAGACTTAAGAGCTGCGAAGACCCGGACGAGGTTTGCTCTTTCGGGCAAAGACTCTCCTCCTTCATGGAATCGGATAAGATAATCGACGAGCGGTGGGAGACACTCTTCGCTTACTGCGAACGGTTCCTAATGGAAATTTGGCAGACGAGACTTGGCAAAACCGAACGAATCGCATGGAGAGGCGCCTTCATTCCAGTTCGAAAGAAGTAGTTAAAAAAAAATATGTTATGTTATTTTACTGGAAAAGTTTACAATATTAAAAATTGGGAAAAAAAGTTTAAATTGTTTTCTTTCCTTCTCATTTTGTTACGAAGTCTGAATCTGTGTGCCAGTGTGCATCTAGATGTGTATAAGAGACAGGAGCTAATGATTCTAGAGTCACGTTCGTCGTGAAAGTCAACAAAGATATCGAAATATTGGCAATATACTTTTCGTGGGTAACGAAGTCACTAAGTTCAAACATCATCACTTCTCTGGACGTACACACACAAACACACACGTATAAAACGCGGGTAAGAAAAGATAGAAACGCAATTTATTCTTTTTGTCAACAACTTTTATTTTTTCTACATTCTATCTACATATTTTTGTTTTATCTCTTGGATTTTAAACAACAACTTTACAACTGGTCTCTTATACACATCT